TTCGTGTAAGCGGCTGTGTCATTGCATTTTTGACGGTTGTGTATATTGAGGTTGATGTTATTATAAATTATAATAAGAACTGTTAAATAGTGCGCGCGAAGCGCGCGTTTGTAGTGCTAGTAATTTAAAAAAGTAATGAATTATTTAACTTTATTTAATAACTACTTTACTTTATGTTTAATAACTATTTGTAATACTTTTTTGTAATGTTAAAGTAAATATATTACAAACATTATATACATACATATATGTATATACATATATTATATATATATATATGTATATTATCAATAGATTATTCTAATATATCCCATTTTTAATTCTTGATTGATACCTTTGATATCAAATTATAACGATAATGGAGCTGTTGAGCCAAGCTAAGTGTAACGTACTAATAATCTTATTTTGAACTGTGGCGGTAAACAATCTTTAATATTATATAAATACTTGAAATACAATACAAATTATCCCAGACGTTTCGACCCTTTTACATAGCGGTCATTTTCAGTAGGAATATAACGAATTAAGTAACCAACCTTATATACATGTAAATGCATTTGCTCGCAATTTATAAAAGTCTGATGTTATACAATTCTTGTCTTGGTTTCTAGATTTTCCAGAAAGCGTTATCTTTAGTGAATAATAGATAGATATATGTTTGAATATCCAGAAATCAATATAACTGTTGTTATAAAAATATTACCTCAGCCAGGATATTTTTCGCAATAAGTTCTTTTCAGTATTTTAAGATGTTTATAAGCATCGATTGATTAGAAAGATCAATATGATATTTCTATTCCATCCTAATAACTGCGTTTCAAGTTCGAACATTTAATCGGCGCGCAGTTTAACGGCTGTACATGGAGTTTAGAAAAATTCATATTTATTAGGCAGAATTTATTAGGCATTTAAGATCCAACCGTGACCGCAAAAAAACGCTCTCAAAGTTAGTTGTATTATTCACATAGGTCTTATTCAAATTATAATTATTACATAATAATTTAATTTTACTATTATTGCGCAACAGATCTTTTAATGCATCCTATTTTCTATTTTTTATTATCGTAGCTTTTTATATCATTAATTTTGTACAAACTAAAAAACATTTTTTTACATGATACATTATTTATTGACAATTATTATAAAGTAGAATTGGGTATTATAAGCACTTTAAGAAAATGTTTTGATATTTCTTGCACACTGAAGAGTAAAAAATTCTTGATTTTACCATTTGATAGGTCTGTTGGTGTATTATGTATTTTGGTATTGAAATTGATTATTTTAATGCAAATATTGAAATAATAAACGGTTCTTCTATTACTCACCTAGTGTTCATATTAGCCTTTGAGTAAGGGTAATATGAGCATCTTTGAGCAGTAAGAGATAATCATTATAATGTAATAGTTTTTAAAATTGTCAAAAAAATATTATACTGTTGATCAAAGTTCAAGAGGCAACTGTTGATTGTTAAAATATTGAATATACTGCACTACTCAACAAAAAATAGAGAACACTTTGAAAACGCTCAAAATTAGATAGTATCCAGAGTGTGGAATGCTCGAATTTTTAAGGAACAAAACAATCTGATATTCTTTTAAAAATAGAACTGTGGAGATAAAAGATTTTGAATTTTTCACTGAGTTACAGCAATTTGAATACTGTCCGATTTTGTGTGTTTTGAAAGTGATCCCTATTTTTTGTTGAGTAGTGTATTACGAAACAAGAAAATATTATCTTTACTTCAATCCTTTGGAAATTAACCAGTTAATAGAAACGATCTTCCAAATTTATTACATGTTTCTTATAGATCATCATTATCATTGTTATTGCAACAGCCTAAATTTTTTATCATATTGTTATGTCATTTTTTATTATATTGTAACAAAAATGTCAAATCGATCGATAGTCCAGAATTTCAATCTAACTTACATAAATAACGTAACAAAATAATAAATGCTGTTATAATATATAACAACATTTATTATTTTATTACATTATTTATGTAAGTTAGATTGAAATTCTGGACTATCGATCGATTTGACATTTTTGTTCATTTTGCCAAGTCAACGCATTGATTATTCATTTCTAATATCCTAAGTTATTTAATTTTATCATACTAATTAATTTATTGTACATACTAATATCCTAAGTTACTTTACTTTATCATACTTAATTTATTGTACATATTATACATAACCTTACACTATCGTCATAATCAGTTAAGAAAATTAATCTTATTGTATTATTATTATTATTATTATTATTACTGACAAATTATATATTCAGTTATAAAAAATTTATACAATCTTTTATACTTCTAATTTCATTATTTCTTTTAATATTTTATTCACTATTACAAATAGAATTTGCACAATAGATATTTCTTGTTTAAAACATATTTTCTTGTTTGAAACGAATATTAACTAACTAAATATATCACTTTTCTGCACGATAAATTTTCCAATACAATAATACATAAGTGATCACGTGTAAACACAGTAACCAAGAGCCAATTATTATTAGAATTGCGTAAAATGGCACTGTCGGCATGTCCATCATTGAGAGAATCCTTTTTGGCGAGCTCCAATAACAAAAAATTTCCAAGCATGACAGATCTGGTCGATCAAGGTAGACCGCCTGCATTACTCCTTCAAATGCGTATCTACAATAAAATTTTACGTTAACTAAAAAAATGCAATAAAAAAAATATAATAAAAATATGTTGCTACACAAAAGTATTGCAAAAATAATAATTCTTGATAAATAGTTGTTACAAAATAAAAAATGATGCACACTGAAAAAATTATGCACAAATATTAATAAGTTTAAATACTAAAAGCTATCACTTAATAATTGCTGTTATATAAAATTGCACCTGTAAAAGTTCACAGTGCTTATAGGTTGTAGGTATACCGGTGTTTCGTTTATTTTCAAATAAAATCCAGCAAACATAAGAAATGTTATACTGACTACCGGAATTACAAATACACCTATCTGAAAGAAATTACATTTAATTATTATTTTCTTATATTAAATAACAAATTAAATTGAAAAATTTGTTTAATACAATGACCAATGATAAATATTTCGATAAAGGAAGGCTGCTCCAATGGCCTTAACCTTGACATATATTCAGGTCATAACCCTGAGTGATCTTCAAAAGGTTTTATCCGTCGCTCGTCTTTTGATAAAAAAGTTATTAACCAAAAAAAGTTTCAAAAATTAATGGTAATTATTCACTTTAAGAAACTTTCGATACTTTATATTGATCTTGACATATATTGTTAAGGTCATGACTCTGAGTGATCTTCAGAAGGTTTTAGCCTTATTAAATTGCTTTTATTAAATAGCACATATGTTGTATATATGTTTAAAAGATTGTATAATTAGCGAATTGATGCTTTTTTTAATATTATGAGTGAAATGTAACCGTTGAGTAATTTAATTATTTATTAAAATTAATAAAATTACAGTTTTATATATTTTGACTTTTTGTAAAGAGAGTTTGAGGGGGGGAGAGGGGGGGCGAAGACCCCTTTTAGTAGGTATAGGCGCAGGCAGGGAGAGGGATCAAGGTCAAGTTTAGATCATTGGAGCAGCCTTCCTTCATTGAAATATTTACCCTGTTTTAATAATGTACGTATATATTAATTAAAATAATAAAAGATATGTCATTAAAGTACCTCAGTACCAAAAGCTGTTCCTGCAAATATTCCGAAAGTTTGTCCAAGAATCATAATTAACAGGCAAACGCCCCATACCTTTAAAATTCTATCATATTCCATTGGTTGTCCTGTCATATAATATGATATAAACACAAAAGATGAGGTACAAAGTATCTAGAAATTAAACAAAATTTTAATTGGTTTAAAATCAATTAAAAAACAGCTTATTTAATTACAATCTAATATACATATAGGCAAATTTTTATCGTTAAAAGAAATATATAATTAGTAACAAATTTATAGTGTTAAATTATATCATACTTGCATTGGGAGATCTGTTAATACTTTTACGCTGTAGTAGGATCTCAACGAGTACCAATCATTTAAATGTTCCTGTAAGAATACTGCCGCTTCCGTGGGAACTACAGTTATGATATTACATTGATGTGATATTAGATGCATTTAACAAAATACAACTATTTATAAAATTTACATTGAAACGCATATAAGTATCATAATTTAGAGTATTAATTAAAGTTGAAAATCTTGTCAAAGAGATTTTATCAGTTTAAAAAAAAATCATACAGTTTAATTATTTGTCAATAAAATAAAATAAATTTTACATACATTAAGTTTATACATAAAAAATAAGTTTATATCACTTACTTATTATCACTGTCAGTATGGAGTTTAAAAAAAATAAAGTCAACAGAATGAGAAATAAGTAAGAAATGTTGCTCATTACTCTTTCTGCTATGTCGCCGAAATCATAGAAAAGAATCCCAAACATCAGCGCGATTACAATATGCATCACAAATCTTAGTGTTGTCAATGACTAAAAAGCCAATAAAAAAAGCAGCATTCTGATTTTTCAAATAATACTTCGATTATTTCTTTCAAAAGTTTTTACTCACATTATCTCGCTTGATGCAGATTAGAGCTCGTAAAAATAAAACCTTTTGTTGTTCCCAAGTCGATTTTTTTTGCATTGCTATGCTATTTATAGATTTATCTTTATTGTCTGTCTCACATTTTTGTTCAGAGTCAATCGATAAATCTAATTCTATAACAAATCAGTTAATTACTTAAAAGGTAAAAATTACAAAAAATAATTGAAAAATTTGTTTTTATGAGTTATCTTGCTTTACATTTTTATGTTTTTTAAATAATATTAATTTTATGTCATACGTAAGACATTTAATCCTGATATTCTATATTTCTGAGAATCTATATTTCTGTTTTGTCGAAAAGTATAGTATTTGGCATAAAATATTAATTTTTATTATTCAATAATCGCAAAATGAAAGATTACGTATAAATTTGTATATGATAATTACTAAATTAATTACTATGATAAGAATACAATGTTTAAATAATAAAATATAACATGTTTACCATTTTGATTATGTTCATTGCGTGATCTGAACTTTTCGTATTCATTACGACATATCTTGTGCAGATTCTCCAAATCTCCACCCTTTTGTCCGGTTATTACCTCAAGTACTATAATTAGATTAACACAATCAATTGATTGATCTATCATTTTTTATAAACTATGTGATGTGTTCGAAACAATTTAATTTTTAAAGTATAAGAAAACTCGACAACTATAAAAATGTATTTATTACGATTTAAATATGATTGAATAGATTTTTAAATAATTTATACTTTTTAGGGTAAACATTTATTTAAGTATTTTTTCTTAAGAGTATACGTTCCTCAAAACTTTAAATCATAAATAATAATAATAACATGATTACATAGATATTCATATTTCTATTATTATGCTTACTGCAATATTTAATCAAAAAATTAAAAAATAATGTTATTTTTTTTAAATTAATTACAAAAATGTATTTTTTAATTAATAAAAAAAGAGTTACATTGCACAGGATTAATAAAAAAGACCAG